CTTTTGGTTTTCATTTGCATGGAATATGTTTTTTCCATTCCTTCACTTTCACAGTCTGTGTCTTTATATCTGAAGTGCATCTCTTCTAGGCAGCATACATATAAATGGGTCTTGCTTTTTATCCATTCAGCCATTTGATATGTTTTGACTGGAGAATTTATCTCATTTGCAGTTAATTACTGCATAGGTATGTACCTATTGGCATTGTGTTGTTTTCTGTCTTGTAGTCCCTCTGTTCTTTTTTTTCTTTTGCTGTCTTCCTTTGTGATTTGATGGCTTTCCTTGGTAGTATGCTTTGATTGCTTTATTATCTTTTGTGTATCTAGTTTTAGGTTTTTGCCTTATAGTTATCATGAGGCTTACATATTACAACTTACAACAGTCTATTCTGTTGGCAACAGTGGAAGGTTGGATGCATTCTTAAGCTCTATATTTTAACTCTCCACCCACATGTTCTGTTTCTGATGTTACATTTAATTTTGTATATTCCTTAACTAATTATTATAGTTACATTTTTGTAACGTTTGTCTTTTAACCTTCATGCTAACTTTATAGGTGATTAATCTACTACCCTTACTATATATTTACCATTACCAATGAGATCTATAATGTTTTCTTAACTAATTATAATTAGCATCCTCCCTTTTTCAGCTTAATGTAGTCCCTTCCTTTAACGTTTCTTGTAAGGCCAGTTTCATGGTGATGAACTCCTTTAACTTTTGTGCCACTCTTTCTGGCTTGCAGTTTTTGTTGAAAAATGTGCTTATGGCATTATGGGGGTTCCCTTGTACTTACCTGGTTGTTTTGCTATTTTTAAGATTTTTTTTTTTTTTTTTTTGGTCATCTTTCCCTTTTGGTTTTTTAACTATAATGTGTCTTGGTGTGGTTCTTTTTACCTCCTTTTTTGGAACTTTCTGGTCTTCCTGGCTTTGCATGTATTTCCTTCCACAGGTTAGGAAGGTTTTCAGTCCCCTTTTTCACCTCTTTCTGGGACCCCTATAATGTGAATGTTAGTATGGTTAGTTTTGCCCCATGTCCCTTAAGTAGTCTTTAGTTTCATTTTTTTTTTTTCCTTTCTGCTGTTCTGCTTGGTTGAATTCCACTGCCAGATCTTTGAGTTCAATAGTCCTGTTTCATCTAGTCTGCTGTTGAACCCTTCTAACATTTTTCAGTTCAATGACTAGATTCTTCAGCTCTGTGACTTTTATTTGATACTTCCTTATATTTTCCATCTCTCTGTTGAAGCTCTCACTGTGGTCTGTTCTTCTGAGTTTGGTAAGCATCAATATGACCACACTTTGAACTCTTTACCAGGTAAATTAGTTACCTGTTTCATTAAGGTTTTTTCCAGAGATTTTCTTTTTCTTCCTTCTGGAACACATTCCTCTGTTTCTTCATTTGCCTCAAGTCTGTGTTGGTTTCTATGCATTAGATGAAATAACCCTTCTCCCATTTTTGAAGACCTGGCTTTGCTTAGGAGGTGAACGTTATTGTTCAACCCTGCCTTAGCTCTTGGTTGTCTAACCTGTGTGGTTGTCTGAATAACCTATTTTAATAGCTCCCAATAGTTGATGGTGTGTCAAGACCAGTCAGTACCTAGGTTTAGGCTGGATAAAACCAAACCCATAGACAGCAGCTCCTAAAGAATGCAAATATATATAGTCCTATAGGACTACAAGTGTAAGCCCCACTGGTCACTAGACTCTGGGAGACAGTAGCTAAAATTAGGGCTCCAGATGAGTATGTAAGTAAATTCCTTTCAAGGAGATGCCAGTGTACTGTAGCAATAACACAAAGATGGCTTCCTGCAGCGTACATGTCCTCAGAGCACTTTTCTAAGCCTCTAGATATATTTCCAACTTGAAGTATGCTGTGCAGGCCTGAAGCTCAAGGACAATCAAATAGGTCTCTTTCACTGATAGACTATGGATGTATTTTAGCTGGAGGTCTGTGCACTGCCTTGGGGGGTGGTAGCCTGCCTCTCTAATGGTTACAGTCCTGTGGGACCCAGAAATACAAGCCTCATTGCCTACCAGTGCTGGGAGATCAAAGGGTATTCCCTCAGTGGCAGCTGTAAAAACCAGGGCACCAGATATACATAAAACCTCCCCTCTGAGAGATACTGCTGCTCTGAAGCATGGCACAATGTCTACTCTCCAAGGTTTCTGGAGTTTACAGTCAGCCCTTATATGTTTAATTAGAAGCCCACCCCTCAGGCAGCAACTATGATGATAAGCTTTGTCTGTGACCAAGACTGAACATCTGAGTCTGTTGCCTCTAGCTATGTCCTCAGGGTGGTAGCTGTTTGAGAACTCTGTTTTCTTTTGTGGGATCTGTGAGCATGAGCCCCATGGGCCATCACAGTCAGGTGATACAGTGTCCTGCTACAAAAGTCAAGGGTGTCAAACAAGAATAGAAGCTCCTTCCTGGGAGATGCAACGTATAAGGTATAGTGAGGCAGAGAGTGTAGAGTGCATCCTTTGGACTCTGTTCCATGAGAACTCCATAAACTCTCAGAAGTGGGCCAGCAGAGGGTTGCACAGCAGCCCAAAGCTCCTCTATAAATAAATAGGTTTCTTCTCAGAAAGACTGGGGGTCTCTTTCAGTCTGCTGTCTGATACAGTGTACTGGGGACGGTGGTCTGCCAAGAATGGTCTCTCTGATTGTTAGCATCCCGTATAATTCAGTAATGGAAGCAGCACTGGCCTACTGAGCCCAACAATCAAGAGGTGTTCCCCTTACTGGCAGCCACATAAACCAAGGCACCAGATGTATGTAAAAACTCCTCTCCAGGAAATGTTGGTGCTCTGAAGCATGGCAGAGAGTGAATGTGAGGATGATGACTCCCAGTCAGGGGCAGGTGGGTAAAAATGGCACCCATCAGCTCTACAAGGCAAACAGGATACGAACATGTCACCCACCAGTAAGAAAGTATCCCAGCAGGCCCCTGACCCTCCAGCTGAAGTTTTAAAGTTATGTGAAAGAGATTTATTTGCTTAATGTCTGGGTGCTTTTCTAAAGGCTGCCTCTATGCTGCACCCTGGGGCAAGTGAATCTGCACAGGAGCCTTTTGAGCCATTTCTCAGTTCACTACAGTTCCTTATATCTCATGGTTTTCAAAGCCAGATGTGTTGGGGGCTCATCTCTCAGGTACAGGACTTAAAAACTGGGGTGCCTGATATAGGGTACAACCCGTTGCTCCTCAGAGAGAAGCTCCATGTTTGTGAGTTATGTCATGATTGTTGGTTGCCTTGCTGGGCTAGGGTTTACAATGAGATTTTGTCTCAGCTTCTCCTCCCCACTTCCATTTGGCGTTTTTCTCCTTTACCCAATGTGAAGAAGTTGCTCAGCTAGTTTTCATGTCTTTCTCAGAGGAAACTGTTCCATATGTAGCTGTAGATTTGGTATGTTCATGGGAGGAGGGGAGTTCAAGAACTTCCTACATTGCCATATTGAGCCACCCCCTAGATGTAAAACCAGACGTAAAACTGGGGCACCAGACATGTGTAAAAGCTTCCATAGTGGAGATACTGACACTCTGTGGAGTGAGGCAAAGGGAGTGTGTGGAGATAGCATCCAAAAGCTGGAGCAAGGCAGAGGGAAAGTGCAAAGATGGGACCTCCAGTCTCTGGCTCCAGAGAGCACCACAGCCGTCCTTTGAATGTGTGTCTCCTCAGATGCCTACCCCTTGGACTGATGCTCCAACACAAGTAAACGAGCCTCTCCCAAAGTCCAGGCACCTCTCAATTACCTGCTTCCACGTGGGGCCCTGAGGTGACTCCAAGCATGCCAGCCCTTAAAGGGCTATTTCCTCAGATCACTATAGCCTTGTTGGTCTTGTAGTAGAAGTGAGCCCCATTGGTTTTCAAAGGTAGATGTTTTGGAGGGTCATCATCTCATAGGTGCGTGTGTTAAAAGCTGGGGGGTGCCTGATGTGGGGTTCAAACCTTTCACTCCTCAAGAAGAAACTACTACAGCTTTTAAGTTCCTTCCTGACAGCAGGTTGCCACACTGAGGGTAAGGTTCATCAAGAAATTATGTCCAGGCCTCTCCTACCTGCTTCAAAGTGAGTCTTCTCTCAGCACCAGATATGTAGGAAGAGAGTTTAGGGTCCTCTTGCTTCATCATCTTTAAAGCTAGCTAGCTATTATTTATTTATTTATCTATCTATCTATCTATCTATCTATCTATCTATCTATCTATCTAATCTTTTAAAGCCAGTGGTAAACTCTCTCATTTCAGATCATTCTGAGAAAAAGCAAAAAGGACAACTTTCGAAACATTTAGTTCGTATAACATTAACACCTCTTCCCATTAAAACAAAACAAAAACCAGTTAAGGTTTATCTTTTGAAAAAAGGGAAAACCAGTAAATCAGACTTCTTTTGCCTTGCAAAGTTTCACCATAGATGGAACACTAAAGCAAGGCTTCTAAGTAATGTGACACTGAGTGGCAAAGCAAGATACAGCACTGCGCATTCTTGCCAGATGCCTTTTGTTTCCCAAATAAAAAGCCTTTCCTGCTGGGAAGAAGCCACTAAAATAAAAGAGAAAACCAGAGCAGCCATTGAGTTGGGATGGAGCTAGGAAGGCGAAAGGAGAGGAGAGAAAGAAAGAAAACTGGAAGAAGGGAGGGAGGAAGGGAAGATGGGAGGAGAAAATAGGGTGTATTGGTTCAGTCAAGACTGAAGAGCAGCTTTTTTTAATAAATTAATTTTTTATTGGTGTTCAATTTACCAACATATAGAATAACACCCAGTGCTCATCCCATCAAGTGTCCCCCTCAGTGCCCGTCACCCACTCACCCCCACCCCCCGCCCTCCTCCCCTTCCACCACCCCTAGTTCTTTTCCCAGAGTTAGGAGTCTTTATGTTCTGTCTCCCTTTCTGAAGAGCAGCTTAATCTAGATCTTCAAATCACTGCAGCATATGGAAAAGTATGTGATTTCTCTGATTCCTACATTTGGAGATTTCACTCATGTTTAACCTGTCACTTTTTCAGGCATCAATAAATTCACAAAAAAGCTTCGGAGTCCGTATGCAATTGATAACAATGAACTACTTGACTTCCTTTCCAGAGTCCCTTCAGATGTACAAGTGGTATGTATGTTTCACTATGCCTGCTATTTAATGTAGAATGGCATTGGGTTTTTGCTTTTCATCCGTTTAATTTCAAAGGTTTTAGAAGAACCACTTAAAGTTAAAAAGGCCCTTGGCAGTTTAGCCCACTCGGGGTGTTATGCAAGAAGAACTTTATAGAGAATGGGTAATGTTGAATGAGAGAGGTTTGCATCAAGAACCTACCAGGGCTTGTAGGAGCAATTTTCCTCCAAAGAAGGTTCACTTAGAGTTTGTGAAGGGAAGTCCCCATTACCTGAAGGGAGGAAACAGGAATATAGATGATGAAAGCAAAATCTGCCAGAGAACATTGGAAAAACACTTCTTTGCATAATTTGGAGGAATTAAGTGTTAAAAATGTACATTTTGGAGACCTTGGTGGGTGAGGTGGGGTGGGGAGTAACTGCTTTTTCAAGACTGGGGCACACCTCCATCCTTTAAAATCCTTGGAGGCTAATGCCCATTAATTATCAATTATTTTCAGAATAAATGAAAAACATTTTTATCAAAATCTGGAAGCTATGTTCCGGCAATACCTTTCTTCCTTTGTTTCAGTTGAGTTTTTGATTTAGCATCTGACAGGAGAGTGGCCTGGAGAGAGATTAAGCCTAAATTAAACAGTAAATTGCAAGGAACCATTATCCAGCCTTTCAAAATTAAGAGAAAGATGGTTTTTGCTTTAAAGTCCTGTTATTGACAGTGAAGAGGCGCCTATTACCAAAGTTCACATCACCGCTCTCACGTAATTTCTGGCAGGATTTCCCTCCTGATTCTTGCTCTATCATTCTATTGTTTTCTGCATCCCAGCTGCAGCTCTCCTAGAGCTTCCAGGGTGAGCACTCTTCCCACCCCTGCCTCCAAGCAGTCTCTCATTCCTCTGCTTTGCCTGCCTTTGCCAGAAAGTGACCACCTGACCAGTCTTTCTCTGAACTCTGTTTAAACAGGTGCAATACCAAGAACTGAAACCAGATCCTTCCCATAGCCCGTGTAAAAGGAAGAAAAACAATCTTGGCTAGCCAGCTCCCAGCACTGAGGAGACCAGCATCTGTTTGGGAAGATAAAAGAAAAAGCCTTCAGCCTCAGCAGCATTTCCTTTCTTCCTGCTTTTTATTTATTTTGCCTTTTTATCATGATCGAGAGAATTTGTAAATAGTGTACAAAGGCATATGTCTTTGAAAATATACTTCCATTGTACAGACTCCATTTGATAAAGGGTTAGCTGTTGCTGTGTGAAAGCCTTGTTGGCTGTGGATAATAATATAACACACTGAAACAACAAATACAAGAATGGTAACGTTGGGAGATATACACTTCTCTAATTACAAGTGGAAGAACCAGAGTATTACATTAAATGCTCAGCTGTGCTCTGATTAAATCTACATAAAATGTAAATGTCAATTTGATTTTTAAAGTTTTTTTTTAATGTGACTATTTTTTATCTGAAAAGTAATCCATTACAGTTTTCTATGTTTTATACATTTCAAAAGGGAAGGGGGGAAATCCCAAAATCTGACTTATGGAACAGATGCATTTCAATTTAACATAGATTCTGACTTCAGATCCTGACTTTCATTCCTGTGCAAATTATTGAGCTATGACTCGGCTTATTTTACACTAATGAGCAAAGGCACAGTCACTCCGTCAAGATAATTCTTCCACACTCTACAAAGAAAACTTCCAAACCTTTTATCATTCCATCTGAAACCTCAAAATCTCTACAGGACTACACATAAATACTGCCAGGTTTATACATGATTGCCTATTTGAATTTTTATACCTACCACTACTTTAATTTGTACCTAGTTAGCAAGTTAGTCACCCAGTTCAGTTATCAAAAATAGTAGCAAACTAAATCCGTATTGCTTTTGGTGTCTCTGTGCATCTAAAAATATTTAATACTCAAAAGTATTCTCACATACACAGAAAGTATCTGCTTTCTCATTAAATTACTGAAATGCTTTAATGCAGAGTATGATTTTTGTTATTAGTGTGAATTTTAATGTAAAGAATGCTAGTGTGCTAAGTGATATGCCAGTTGTTTCATTACATTCATTTCTAAAAAAGCTAATCATTCTTGATAATACGAATGCATGAAACCTATTTTGTAAAAAACAAAAAAACAAAAAACAAACCACAACTGCTTATGGGGAAGGGGGAGTTTGCCTTTAAAAAACTGTTTCACTACTTACCATAGAATCTATACTTAAAAATTGCATTCCCAAGACTTATGATAGTTTTTGTACCTAACTCCCTGATAAATCACGGGAGTATACCTCTGGAGAGAGAAATAATTTGGTGAGAATGTTTTACTTCCCTGACTGGGTAGGGGATTAAGCTTGGCTGAAAATGCTGTAGACAATGTTTTGCACTACTTTATTAATAGAGTGGGATAGGGTGAAGGGGGGGAGGGTTATGATGGAAAAACACAGAAAAACCAGAAGCCAGAAATATATATTTCACTCTAAAGGAAGATTCTTTAAGGATAAATTTAATCTCATCGAAGCTAATTTTTAAAGTATTTTTATTTTAAAGCGACGTTGTTAAATACTATTTCTTATTATAGAACTATTTTGATCTGTTTATACACTATGCTTGAAAGAGAATGTCAATTAAATTCCCTTTCTACAGAAAGGCTTTGACCTCAATATGCTCTATTTAGCTCACCATGTTTATAATGACATGCTTATATCCGCATACCATCACTGTTTGTTGCTTGGACATAATACTCCATAAAGCTGATGTTGCCACAGAAAGTTTATTGATGGGATAATTTGTTTGAAATACCTTTTGATTATACCTTGTGTGAGATTTATGTTCCGTGCTGACAGTGTCTACTCAAATGTCTACAAGCCTGATATTGTACAATTTCAGATGTACCTAGTGCATAGTAACCATTAACAGATGCCTAATTTTTGTTTCATTCTACCAACTTTCAGATGTTAAGTTCAGTGGTAATGTTGACTATACATTCACTGCATTAAATTAAAAAAAAATCTTTTCTAAGTATACTCAGTACTCCTTTTTCTTTGCTTCTCTCTCTCTCTTTTTGGTGGTTGGTTGTGAGTGCTGGAGGATTGTTTGCATATTCTTATAAATGAAACTTAGTTTGGTTTGGGCAAATAAGGCCTTCCCTAAAACCTTGACCGTTGTATGAAACTCACTACCCACCTTTGAAGGAGTGAGCATGCAATGAAGTTGACATAAGAGTAAGAACTATCTTGAGGCATGAAATGATATTCAGAGGCATCTTCCTTGCTTTCAAGACCACCACATTCACAGACTGAAAAACTGTGTCTAATAAAATTTTAACTATTTCTTTCCCCCTCTCACATAGGTACAGTTTTGCCTTTTGAAAGCTGTTTAACTTGATTTAGTTTTGAGGTTTCCATGTATTTCAAATGTCACTCCCAATAGGGGTGAGACTGCTAAATCCAGTAATCTTGTCAACTATTAAATATATTCCTCAGTGTTTTTTGGTGAGTAAATTCACTAAAGGTCATTCACATGGCAAAGTACTATTATTGCTATTAATTGTGGTAATTCCTAAGAAATGTATGTTAAACTTTTTTTTTTCACTTAGAGCAAGAATACTTGCTCATTTTGGTACTGTTCCACAGATTCAAACTGACAGATGCTATAGGGATTCCAGATTATATTTGAACCATACTATATACTAGGATAATCTGAATATTTTTTTTTCCAGGATTTTACGTAATCTCCATACCCAAAGTGGGGCTTGAACTCACAACCCTGAGATCACGAGTCTCATGCTCCACCAAATGAACCAGCCAGGAGCCCATATTGAACGATTTTTTAAAAAAATGACTTTCCTTTGTGATACATTTATTGAATACCTATTACTATTTTATGACTTGCCCTGTCAGAGGCAATGATCCAACAACCAGTGACAGTATATGCAAATCAAATCTGGAGCTAAAGGAGACTAAAAATAAAATTTAATTAATAGGTTTCTGAAAGTATCTTTTATAGAATTTTATTCTATATTTAAAAGTGAAGAAAATTCTGTAATCTGTCTCTTATCCAAGGAATAGGCAACTTATTTTTCCATTTTGATCTTAATATCCAAATGTCTATAATGCTGTCAATGATCTAATTTTGTATTAACTAGTCATACTCAGGGCAGCTTGAGGGGCTCAGGGGTTTAGTGCCGCCTTCAGCCCAGGGTATAATCCTGGAGACCCAGGGTCGAGTCCCATGTTGGGCTCCCTGCATGGAGCCTGCTTCTCCCTCTGCTTGTGTCTCTACCTTTCTCTGGGTCTCTCATGAACAAATACAATCTTTTTTTTTTTTTTTTTAATTTTAACTAGTTATACTCAGAGCCCTTAGTTTATACACTTGTTAAATGTACCCCAATATCTATTTCTGAGTTTGGGTCTCAGCATTAAAAACAAATAAAAAATGCATATTAGGCAGTTGATGTTCCAGAAATACAAGTAAAGAGATCCACCATTACACTACTTACAGAAGTTTCAGGTATTATTAAAGTAATGCTTATTTAAATTCTGGGGCTTTAAATGTCAAGTGTTAGTATGTGTATGTGTATAGATGCCAATTCATTTGTTTGATTAGAGTATCTAGAATCAGGCTTTTCTAATTGTTCAGTCAAGTATGAATTAAAACCACATAAAAAATGAAATGAATACGGGCAGCCGGGGTGGCTCAGTGGTTTAGTGCCACCTTCGGCCCAGGGCCTGATCCTGGAGACCTGGGATTGAGTCCCATGTTGGGTTCCCTGCATGGAGCCTGCTTGTGTCTCTACGCACCCACCATGATAAATAATAAAATCTTAAAAAAAAATGTAATGAATACTTAGAATAGTGTCATTCCTTTCAATTATACTTCTCTTTCCTGGGATGAGTGGTGTAACTCACTGAGAGAAAAAAACATAAGACCTTCTTTTGTGTAGTGAAGATATTAGCTCTAATGCCTCAGTTTCTACATTTGTACAGTGGCAGTCACATTGTAAAAGCTGTATCAGCTGAGTCTTTGAGATTTTAAGAAACACCAAAGAAAATGTCTTATTATGTAAGAATACTGTGCAACCCCCCCCCCCCAAACATTAAATGTCCAAAGTGGTCACATGCTGCAGGAACTAACACCAGTGTTTGCTGGAAGTTAATGATTATATACACACTTTCCCAAGGGCATTTGTGCCGAGAACCAAAAAAATTGCAACAATTAAACACATAAATGGTCTCAAATGAGTTTCAATTTTATGAGATAGTCCTTTCTTCACATTTTAAATTAATAACAAAGTGGTCCCTCAAATGCATAAGCTGTATTTTTGCAGACACGTTTTTTATTTGTATGATGACTGTATCTCCACGTGACTGAACAATTATACAACTTCATTAAAAAAAAAAAAGTAACGGCACTGCTGTTCTGCTTTTTGCAATTAATAGCATTACTATATTAAGCTGAAAGCTTTATTTGTATTAAGAACAGAAATAGGTGAGTAGCTATGCCAAAGTTTTCTCAGTTTGTAGCAAAAGTAAAAATGCAGCCTAATTCTCCCCTGCTGCAGATTTTTCAGTGTTCCTTCAAGAGAAAAGGGGTGACCAACCCGAGTCAAAGAAGGAATCTGCAAATCACCTCTTATTTTCTCAGGAAGAATATATCAGAGATCCTGGGATCTGGCTTGTTGCTGCCATGGCAAGATGGTACTATAGGCTCAGTTCCACTTCCTGTCAAAGAGAATCTTAGCAATGGCATAAGGCAACTTGAGGCAACATTTTATTTTGCTAGAATTCAAATAGTAACAAGTTTAGGGGAAACACTGCACACAGAAAGATGCAGACCCAGCCCCAACCACTCTTCAGTGCCTCTTGATTACAGGAGACCCACCTGAGACAACAGTCAAGAGTAATTACAGAGACAGCTGGACTACGTAAGGGAGCTGAGAGGAAGGAAATAACCATCATTTGTCCCAAGTTCAGAAATCTTTTAATAAAGCCATCCAGGGAACTGGAAACCTTACAACTATACTCTAAATCATTCCCTCAAAACATTCTTCCCATTGTACAGCAGTGATTATGACAATTACAAGCCAAATCTGTGTGTAACCTACAATACTGAAGTCATGGAAAACAGTTTATTGCTGTCGAGAATTAATAAACTCTTAAAAATTTTCACCAAGACTTAAGTGTCTATTTTCTATTATACAGAGAGGGATAAACGTTTGTGTTTTTGTTGACTTTGTTGTATAACATGGGAGATAACTACCCCAAATTCTGACCCAATCTTACACAATGGTATTCTGACCCCTTACCTTAGATCTGGAACTCTTACACAGCAAATTCTGTTAATACAGAGAACCAGCAAACTACAACAGGGTCTTTGAAGCACAAGGGAACCCACTGGGAAAAGTCAAATACTTTGTATGTATGAAGAAGTGGCTTTAAAATAGATTAATGTGGTGGTCCATTTTATTAGTTTGAAGTTGCTGAACATTAAAAAAAATTTAAAAAATGCATTTTTAGATAAAACAGAAAAACTTTTTTTGGGGGGGGGCTGTTATCACAAAACATCTAGCATTTGATAACCAAAGTCAGGCACACTAACTCTTGTGGGGTGGGACAGTAGGTACATACCATTCTTGTCGCTCGCTCTATGATGTTAATACACAGAACCCACGATCCCCCGTGACTGTGACAACTCTGACAAGCAGGTCCCCACCCAAAACACATTAATGTGGTATTCCCCAGTGCACGGTAGGTTACATTACAGGTATCCGATGAGTTGATATAAAATAATAAAATAATTAAAATAGTCTATTTTGAATTTTACTACTTAAAACAGTACGTTACAAGAAACCATTTTCCTCGCTTTCACACAAGAGGTGCAAAATAATATGCTGTGGAGAACATTGACAAGGCACTTTCAATCAGAATTCTCTCAGTGAAGAGCTGGTTGCCAGTATCTGCATTATTGTTGTAAATAATAAAACTGATAGTAAAAAGTGAATTTTTTCCAGGTCTGTGATGATACAAGAAAAAATTCTCAGTGACACAGTATAACCTCCCTTCAAATAATAGATAAATGTAGCCTTCATTCAATTTGAGCATCTCTGCTTTTTTGGTGTTAAATCTGGAAAAACAAAACAAAACAAAAAACACAACAAAAAACCCCAAACAACCCACCAGATTCTTCAAGGTTTTTTTTTTTTTTCTTAAAGAATACTTCTAAAATCAGAAAAGGCCAATAGTAACGCTATGTTCTCATGACTCCACATGGTAATTACATGAGAAAGTTTAATTTTTAGGAATTTAAGAATCTTCCTAGATTAGATTAATGATGTCAACCAACAGGGTGACACACTACCTGGAAGCCACTTAAAAAAAAGACTGATGGAAAAAAAAAAAAAAAAAAAAAAAGACTGATGAAGCCTGCCAGTAAAATGATGAGCCAGATGCACTCTCAAAGGATGGGCATATAGTGCGGGTATATATTTTTTTGAGATCCGCGTTAGATGGTGCTATGTTTAATTATATTGTTCCCTGAAGAGAAATGGCATTTTTTAAAAAATGTACTTTATATTTAAAAAATAAGAGCTTTAGAAAAATTTCAAGACTTCATTCTCATTTACATTAAGGTCATTACTTTAAAAAATCTTCAAAAATAAATGAGTTATTGGCATTTTAAATATAAATCATGTTACAGATAAACTTGGAGAAGTACAGAAAATATTCAAAATTCTATCATAAATATAACCACTATTAGCAACATATTTGCTTATAATCTTTCCCCTTATGTAATTTTACCTAAATTTTTAAGGACATCTTATTTTTTAAAAAGAACTAGAATCAGTCAAGAAAAATGGCTTTGAGAAAACCAGTCTGACAACTTTTCTAAATGGCTCTCAAACTCTCTCTGAGCCCATTTCCTTCAATAACATGACTTTGAACTTAAATGTAGTTTGAGAGGAGAAGTAAGGGAATTAAGTCACAGGGAAAGAAAGTAGATTTGCCTAACCTCGAGGAAAGGGCTGAATATTACTTGTCCCATAGTCTATATTTCTGCTAATACCAGTAAAACTGGCATATTTCTCCTTTATTTTTGACTGAGTTTCAACTAAA